TCAGAAATTTATTTATTTATTTATTTATTTATTTATTTATTTATTTTGGGAAACAAGGTCTCAATCTGTCTCCCAGCTCGAGAGCAATGGCGCAATCAGAGCTCACTGGAACCTGGAACTCCTGGGTTCAAGTGATCCTCCTGTTTCAGCCTTCTGAGTAGCTGGGACTATAGACAAGCACCATGATGCTCGGTTAATCTTTAAATGTTTTTGTATAGATGGGGTTTTGCTATGTTACCCAGGTTGGTTTTGAACTCCTAGTCCCAGGAGATCCTCCTGCCTTGGCCTCCCAAAGTGCTGGGATCATAGGCGTAAACCACCATGCCTGGCTCCAGAATATTTTTAAGGCTCCTTTTCCCTTTATCCTGCCATGGATCCCTTTATTGCTAGAAGGGCCCAATCAAGACTTTAATAGAACATATGCAAACCACAAGCTACTAACTGTTGAGTGAAGAAACTACTGATTAGTTCACACTCTATTCGTTTTTCTTGTAATGGGGATAAGGAGGTACTTTCACTTTTTACCATATTACCCCATTGTCTGACATTTTAGAAAGAACATGTATTCATTTTATAACTTTGAAAAATATATTTTCTGAATTTGGTGTTTTTTTCAAAAATTTTCTACGAAGCCCCTTTTCAATTTAGTAAATAGGAACTAATAAAATGACAAAATATTAATATGTTAATTTTACAATTTTTAAAACAATCAAGATTTCTGCATAAAAAGTTCCTCTATATGCCTGTGTAACATAAAGGAAAACACTTGGGGGAAAAAGTAGTAGAAAAGAAAACTAGTTTTCTACATCATAGGAGAACAGAACTTCCAGATAAAATTCTGACTAGGACTAAATATAGAAACTATGGTTCTATAATTTACAATTTCAAGCAAGCAACTGTCTAAATATTTTAGATTAGATCACACAATTACACTCTCTGAGATCTGCATTAAATGCATAAAATCATTTTGCTTTTCATTATATACCAGAACTTCAAAATTTAAGCCACAATCCCACAAATAATACTTGGCTAACGGCTTTTACTTTTAGACACTGATTGTGCTATTTATAATATATAATGCTGTATTGTATGTTACACGGCTTTCTACAGCAAGCACCCATATCCAAACATTCCTACTTATTTTACTATCTAGTGGGGGAAAGGAGATGTGGAACAAGAGAGAAGGAACAGTTAACATCCTAGAAAACATGGGGGAAGGATTGCAGAGCACAAAAGAGCATGTTTCAACCACTCCTAGACCAGCTTTTCTCACACACTCAACCAAATCACTTGAACTTGTCTATACTAGTTCCACTCATTCAGACTTGGTCTTGAGTGGTTATAAGCAATATTATATGTTGCCATTTCATATAACATATCTATAGGACTCATCATCAAAAAACTACCATAGAACCAAGGAACACATTTTGGGGCAGGAAACAATGTACCAAGTAAGCTATTCTAATATTTCATCACCGCCCTGGGTTAAGGGGTACAAAACAGAAAGAGGGAGAAAAGAGAATATCTTTTTTCTTTTTTGTTAAGACAGAGTCTCACATTTTGTCCCTCAGGCTGGAGTGCAGTGGCTCAGTTATAGCTCACAGCAGCCACAAACACTTGGGCTCAATCAATCCTCCTGCCTCATTCTCCCAAGTAGCTAAGGCTACAGGCACACACCACCATACTTGGCTAATTTTTTTCTTTAATTTTGTAGAGATGGGGTTTCACCATGTTGTCCAAGCTGGTCTCAAACTCCTGGTGTCAAGCGATCCTCCCACCTCAGCCTCCCAAAGTGCTGAGATTACAGGTGTGAGCAACTGTGCTCAGCAGAGAATATCTTTTTAAAAAGAAGATTATAAGAAGAAAAATGGGCTGGGTGCAGTGGCTCATGCCTGTAATCCCAGCTCTTTGGAAGGTCGAGGCAGACGGATCACAAGGTCAGTAGTTCAAGACGACAAGCCTGGCCAAATGGTAAAACCTCGTCTCTACTAAAAATACAAAAGTTAGCCCGGCACGGTGGCATGAACCTATAATCCCAGCTATTTGGGAGGCTGAGGCAGGAGAATCACTTGAACCCAGAAGGCAGAGGTTGCAGTGAGCTGAGATCACACCACTGCACTCCAGCCCGGGTGTCAGAGTGAGACTCTGTCTCCGACAAAAAAGAGAGAAAAGAAAAGAAAATGTCCTACTTTAACAATGCAACTCAGCCTAGGAGAACCATATGAAGCCTCAAAGAAGATACACTACTGAGACAGAATAGAGCAGACAGTCACAAAAGGAAACATTTGAAAATATATGGATATTCTGAAATCAGGTCTTAGACCAAATTACTAACAATAAATACTCTGATAATTTCTAAAAGAGCTAAATATATATGTTACCTTTAATAATTTTGAAGAAGGAATTCTGATAGGTATAATTAATTTTCATATGCTTTATTGTCTAATCACTGTTGAAAGATCCTATGATTGAATAATCCACAGTGATTTATCAGCTGATATATTTTGATTAGAACTAAACTGTATACAAGTTCCCCAATACCTGCCATTTATAAATGATATAAAATCTTTCCAAAACAAACATTTGTTAAACACATAGTAAATTTCACACACTGTGCAAGGTTCTATGGGACAATAAAACTGAATACATTACTAATCCTGGACTCAAAGAACTTAAGACACCAATCTTTCTACTTTAACTATTACAATAGCCACCTAAATTGATTCTACTGCATATGAGTCTTGTCCCATTCCAACCTACCATTTCTAAAATCTGTTTACATCTGTGGCAATGGAAATAATTTTTAGACTACTTACTGCCTAGTTTCTCAAAGGTTGTCACATAAGCACCTCAACAGGAAGGAGAAAGAGCCTAGGCCCTGGAGGCCTGGAGATGTAGATTCAAACTGCCATAACAAGCCAAAATTTTCTTTATCTAATTCATGCAAATATTACATTCACTCCATAAAACAGCCATATATGATTTTAATACAAATAATGATCGCTTTTCTCCCCTTAGTTGAGTAAACTGACATTCTAGCAAGATGCTCCTTGTTATTTCTGTGTTTTCGCACACCCATACACTAGCAGGCCAAAAATACCTGCAGGACAGAGTCAAAAGCCTTCAGCCACTCCAACTACATTTCCCCCAGCAACAAAGCAATGCCACGCCACAGCCACATCAAAGTACTTGCAACACAACCCTCCTCCATTGCCATTCACTAATGCGCACACACGCGTGCGCACACACATATGCCCCTTAATATTTCATGCCATTCCTGTTCCCTTTCCTGGAATTCTTGTCCCTACTTATCCAACTACTAACAAGCTTGTACTCATCCTGCCAGATTTCACTCAAGTATCACCTCTTCTGTGATGCTGTCCTGACCACACAAAACAGGTAACCATGCTTTCTTGGGTTACCCTGTACCTCTTATATAGCTATGACAGCACCTCATTTGTTTAGTCATTTTCTTTCTCACTAAGCTAGTAGCTTCTTTTGAAGGCCAGAAGCCTCATAAAATTTATGTTTGTATTTGTAAGGCCCAACAGTGCCTGACAAACAATGGCTATTCAATTAATGTTTACCAAATAAACAGAGAGATAAATGACTAAATATCACTCCCTAAACTCTCCCCTAATTTATTTTTCATCATAGTACTTATAGCCTTCTAACAAACCATAATTCACTTATTATCATTTTGTGGCTTTTTCACTGATATATTAATAATCCCAGCACGAAGAACAGTACCTGAGGCATAGTAGGCACTCAATACCTATTGAATGAATGAAAGAAATATACTTGGTTATTTGGAACTCATTCTGCTCAGATTATTCAACATAAAATGTGGCTTTTCCCATGAAATATTTTTTCGAAAAAAAGAAATGCCTGTATCCTTGATAATCACAGTAAATAACACCATTTTTATAAACTTTGAATAAAATATATAGTTTAATTATACAACTAGTATATATCATTTTTTAAAGGCTGGGCATGGTAGCTCACACCTCTAATCTCAGCAGTTTGGGAGGCCAGGGCAGGCAGATCACTTGAGGTCAGGAGTTTGAGATCAGCCTGGCCAACATGGTGAAACTCTGTCTCTCCTAAAAATACAAAAATCAGCCAGGTGTGGTGGTGCATGCCTGTAATCCCAGCTACTTGAGGTCTGAGGCAGGAGAATCACTTGAACCCAGGAGGTGGAGGTTGCAGTGTGCTGAGATCACGCCACTGTACTCCAGCCTGGGCAACAGAACAAGGCTCCATCTCAAAAAAAAAAAAAAATATATATATATATATATATTTCTTTAATGTAGACCAAAACAAAACAAAACATAGATCTCCAGTTAGTGTGGTTTAAAAATTATTGGCTCAGAATTTGACCTATAAAGTAGAATACTTACTTGCCTGGTATCTTAATTGTTTTCAACATAAAGCTTCCCATTATTTTTCCAAATAAATTTTTTTGAATACATTTTTTGTAATGATTTCTGTATCCCAAAAGTATAATAATAATATATTTATTTTAAATACATATTTTCTAATTACTAAAGAGCAAATTGATAATTACTAATTACATGTTTACTAATATTAAAATTCTAGATACTCATAGGTAAGCCTGTGGGTTTTTTTAATTTTTATTTTTTTTTATTTTTGAGATGGAGTTTTGCTCTTGTCGCCCAGGCTGAAATGCAATAGCTCAATCTCAGCTCACCACAATCTCCAACTCCCAGGTTCAAGCAATTCTCCTCCCTCAGCCTCCTGAGTAGTTGGGATCACAGGCATGGGCCACCATGCCTGGCTAATTTTGTATTTTAGTAGAGATAGGGTTTCTCCATGTTGGTCAGGCTGGTCTCCAACTCCCAACCTCAGGTGATCCGCCTGCCTCGGCCTCCTAAAGTGCTGGGATTACAGGCGTGAGCCACCACGCCCAGCCAGTTTTTTAAATTTTTAACAATATATTCCAGAACATTAGTTTTCAGAAAATGCATGAAGATACTTACCCATCCTTGGTTTGATCAGCTACTCCTGCCAAGAGCTGCACGATCTTTGGGTTACTATTTGGATCATTATACAGTCCAAGATAGCGCTGAACAAAGTCTTCTGGAGTCATGTAATGCTCTCCATCAACCTCAGTACTGGCATACTAAAAAAACAAATAAATAATGTATACTGAAAAATTATCCAATATCATTTTATATCCAATAGATGTTTTGTGAAAAGGTAAATTATAGGCCAGTATTAAAATCAAAATAAAGATAATAAATGCAGAATTTTTATCTGGATACTGAAAAATCAAATATTCAGAGTCTGATTTTAAAACATTTTATAGTACTAATATATGCACAACATGTATGAACCTTGAAAACTTTATGATAAGTGAAAGAAGCCAGACACTAAAGGCCATGTATTATGTGATACTATTTACGTGGCATGTCCACAATAGGCAAGACCATAGAATCAGAAAGCAGAATATTGGTTGCCAGGAGCTGAAAGGAGAGGGAGAATGGGAGTTAACTGCTTATTAGGTATCAAATTTCTCTTTGGGGATGATGAAAATGTTCTGGAATTAGATAGTGGTAACATCATAAACATTGTAAATATACTTTAAAAAAAACACTGAATTGTATACTTTAAAATGGTTAAAATGGTGAATTTTACGTTATGTGAATTTTATCTCAATTAAAAATACACATACTGGTAAGATAAAAGATATGAAAAGACTAAGAAAGGTGAAAGAGCAGCCAGGACCTGAAAGTGACTCCCAGAGGCTCCCTGTCTACAAGAGCACCAGGGAGACATGTAACCTGCCAAACCTTCGAAGTGAAATGAATGAAAAAGGAATAACAAACAAGACCTTTCATCATACCACGTTCCAGCAGCTGGAAATAGGAAATAAATTAAAATATTCTTTGACATCAGTAATTTTTACATCAATAATTTTTTAAAATAAAGTAATAATAATACTTGCATCAAAGAAACTCATTGAAGTGCTTTATATACTATGAGATAACCAAACATGAACAACCAAAGCTCTTCTCCTTGAGTTGCATCAGATTGATCATTACTTCAGTCACCCAACAAAGCAGTAAGATCAGAACTGAAGAATACAAGGGCTCACAAAATGTCAAGCACGAAAAATTAAAACTAACATCTACACCAGGGCCTGGCCCATCACTGTTAAATTGCAGAACATCCAAATGAAGTGAAAATTCTACAAGTTTTCAGAGAGAAAAACCAGGTCACATATAAAGAATCATGAATCAAGGGCATCATGCTCCTCAACAGCCCTGCTTTTTTTCCCTCAGCACCTCTTTCTAACATACTTTATATTTTACTTATGGTTACTGTCTATCTCCCAATTAGAATGTGTCACAAGGCAAAGAATCTTTGTCTAATTTGTTTACTGATATATCCCAAACACCAAGAATGATGCCTGGCTTATAGTAGGCACTCAGTAAATATTTGGCAAATGAATGAATTGGTAATAGGTACACAAATAACTAGGCAAATCAAAAGTTTGGTAATTTTTAACTATGAGAAATTATTTTTATTGTACAAAAATAGAAAATATCATAATCTATGACTTGGCTCAAAATAAACAGTATTTATAGTCATAATAATATAGATATCAAATGTTAATTTAATAAAAATTATAAATAGGACAGGTGCAGTGGCTCACACCTGTAATCCCAGCACTTGGGGAGGCCAAGGCGGATGACTACTTGAGCCCAGAAGTTCAAGACCAGCCTGGACAACATGGCAAAACTCCATCTCTACAAAAATACACAAATTAGCTGGGCATGATGTCATGTGCCTGTAGTCCTAACTACTCAGGAGGCTGAGGTGGGAGGATTGGTTGAGCCTGGGAGGTGGAGGTTGCAGTGAGCAGTGATCATGCCATTGTACTCTAGCCTGGGCAACAGAGCAAGACCCTGTCTTGGAAAAAAAAATTATAAATATACTGAGAGGAATGTGAGAGGAAGTAGTATAAGGAAGCTAGGACCTCAGCTACTATAAGAAAGTCAAAAATGTCTAGACATATCAATATAGAAATGTGAAGGGAAATACCAAAAGAAATAGCTAAGAGAGTTACAAGTGGTTGCTTCTGGGAAACAAGATGGGGAAGAAGAATCAGGGCAAATGATTGTTGGTTTGCTTTCTGGTCAAGTATTGCAAGTGTCTCCATTTGTGGATCTGACTAAACAAAGCCACCTATTCTTTCAATAAGAAAAGAGTTAGCCCAGGAACAGTGGCTCACACCTGTAATTCCAGTACTTTAGGAGGCCAAGGCAGGAGGATCCCTTGAGTTCAAGAGTTCCAGCCTGGGCAACATGGAGAGACCAGATCTCTACAAAAAATTTAAAAAGTAGCTGGGCATGGTGGTGCACACCTGTAGTCCCACCTATGCAGGATTCTGAGGAGGGAGGATCACTGGAACTTGGGAGGTCAAAACTACAGTGAGCCATGATTGTGCCACCACACTCCAGTCTGAGTGACAGAGCAAGACCCTGTCCCAAAGAATAAAAAACAAACAAAAAACGCCACAGAGACTACCACCCCAAGTGCTATATCAGCCTGCATAAGAAGTAGCCCAGTGGCCAGGTGCAGTGGTTCATGCCTGTAATCCCAACACTTTGGGAGGCCAAGGTGGCCAGATCACTTGAAGTCAAGAGTTCGAGACCAGCCTGAACAACATGGTGAAATGCCATCTCTACTAAAAATACAAAAATTAGCCAGGCATGGTGGCCTGTGCCTTTAGTCTCCTACTCAGGAGACTGAGAGGAATGGGAGAATCACTTAATTTGTATTTTCAGTAGAGACTGGTTTCACCATGTTAGGCCAGGACGGTCTCGATCTCCTGACCTCGTCATCCACCTGCCTCGGCCTCCCAAAGTGCCGGGATTACAGGTGTCAGCCACCGTGCCGGGCCCTCACCTGCATCTTTGTAACAGCCACTTCTTAGTCTCCCTGTCCCAAGTTAGTTCCTCTCTCCTCCACTCACCTTTCATGTTGCCATCAGGGATAGCACAGATCAGATTATGTCTCTCCTTTCTTCTAAAACTTTTAGTATTGTTCCATGGCTTGCAGAATAAAGTTCAGACTCTTCTGGTTAGCATTCAAAGCATTTGAGAGGTGGGAGAATCACTCGAACCTGGGAGGCGGAGGTTGCAGTGAGCCAAGAGCCAAGATTGCACCACTGCACTCCGGCTTGGGAGACAGAGCAAGACCCTGTCTCAAAAAAAAAAAAAGTAGCCCAGCGGTTGCTTGATGACTTGTGCTACAGAACAAAAATAAAAAGAAGTAGCCCAACGTGGACTTTTTTTTTTTTTTTTTTTTTTTTTTTTTTTACTAATTGGTGCTACCAAAAGCATTCAAGAAATATCACCCCAAAATAAAGTCATGTTCTCTATACATGACTATAAAAGCCATTCTTGAAGGGGTTTTGAGTTTAAACCTTGGCTCTACCACTAACCCTGTGTGAGTCCCTAGACAAGTTTATTGACCTCCCAGGCCTCTAGATATTTCACACACTTACACAATGAAGACAAAATAATCTTTAAAATTTCAAAACCATAAATATATAAACATAGGATAAAGAAAACAATAGGCTGGGCACGGTGGCTCACGCCTGTAATCCCAGCACTTTGAGAGGCCGAGGCAGGCGGATCACAAGGTCAGGAGATCGAGACCATCCTAGCAAACATGGTGAAACCCCGTCTCTACTAAAAATACAAAAAAATTAGCTGGGCATGGTGGCGGGCGCCTGTAGTCCCAGCTGCTCGGGAGGCTGAGGCAGGAGAATGGCGTGAGCCCGGGAGGCGGAGGTTGCAGTGAGCCGAGATCGTGCCACTGCACTCCAGCCTGGGCGACAGAATGAGACTCTGTCTCAAAAAAAAAATAATAATAATAATAAGTTTCAAAACAATAAGTATATAAACATAGGATAAAGAAAAAGCAAACTGAAAGATATTTATACTAACAGTAAGTAGATTCCATCAATTCCTGTCAATTGCTTCTTTTCTTCCTCTTCTTAACATGTACGAGACAACTGGACATGTTCCACCAAGATCACAAAACCACCAGAGTTAAGAACACGCAGGAGCGAGGAAAGGCACAATATGAGGAAGACTGCTGCAATTGGAAAGAAGGATGGATACAAGGAAGTCTTAAAACAGAATGTAAGGAGACTGACAAGTTAGTTACTAGTCAATTACTAGTTACTGTTACTAGTTCCGTCCACCAGTAACTAGAATATGAGTTGCAAACAATGGCATGAGAAATATACTATGGGAACCAAAAAGGAGTGATTCATTCCCAGGACTGGTGGGATGGGGCCAGAGAATGGAGGGAGAAAGGCAACACTTGGAATGGACCTTAAAAGTTAAATCCAATTTCAATTGCAAGTGGAGAGAATGAGTACTTCAAACTAAAAACAAAAACACAAAAAACTAATGTGAACAGATGTTGAAACAAAAAATACCCTTTTTTCTGGGAGAAGGGTTAGTTGGAGAGAAATACGGTAATAAAGAGAGCGTATAGAAATACATGTAGTAGAAAAGGCAGTTTGAGACCAAATGGTGGAAGACTTTGAATGCTAAACAGAAGAGTCTGAACTTTATTCTGTGAGCCGTGGGACACTACTAAGTTTAAGAAGAAAGGAGAGACATATCTGATCTGTGCTATCCTTGATGGCAACATGAAAGGTGAGTGGAAGAGAGAGGAACTAACTTGGAACAGGGAGAGTAGTAAGTGGCTATTACAGAGATACAGGTGAGGGCCGGATGCAGTGGCTCACGCCTGTAATCCCAGCACTTTGGGAGGCCGAGGCAGGCGGATCACGAGGTCAGGAGATTGAGACCATCCTGGCTAACACGGTGAAACCCCGTCTCTACTAAAAATACAAAAAATTAGCTGGGTGTGGTGGCACGCACCTGTAGTCCTAGCTACTCGTGAGGCTGAGGCAGGAGAATCACTTGAACCCGGGAGGCAGAGGTTGCAGTGTGCTAAGATCGCACCACTGCACTCCAGCCTGGGCGACAGAGCAAGACTCCGTCTCAAAAAAATAAATAAATAAAAGATACAGGTGAAAGAGGTTGAGGCCTGAACCAACACAGTGGGCATGAAAAGGAAAAAAACAGTGGG